AAGAAGCTCTCCTTACTTGGGGCTCAGGTGCAGGTCCTTGCAGGCTTGGGCGCTTTGGGCTTATGCACCCAGGTCTACCAGGGCCTACACCTGAGCACCAAGTAAGAAGCTCTCCTTACTTGGGGCTCAGGTGCAGGTCCTTGCAGGTCTGGGCACTTTGGGCCTATGTGCCCAGGCCTGCCAGGGCCTGCAGGCGAACCCTGAGTAAGGAGCATTCCTTACTTGGTGCTTGGGTGCAGGTCCTTGCAGGCTTGGGCACTTTGGGCATATGTGCCCAGGCCTGCCAGGGACTGCATCTGAGCGCCTAAGGAGTGCTCCTTACTTGGGGCTCAGGTGCAGGTCCTTGCAGGCTTGGGCGCTTTGGGCCTATGCACCCAGGTCTACCAGGGCCTGCATCTGAGCGCCAAGTAAGAAGCTCTCCTTACTTGGGGCTCAGGTGCAGGTCCTTGCAGGCTTGGGCGCTTTGGGCTTATGCACCCAGGTCTACCAGGGCCTACACCTGAGCACCAAGTAAGAAGCTCTCCTTACTTGGGGCTCAGGTGCAGGTCCTTGCAGGCTTGGGCGCTTTGGGCTTATGCACCCAGGTCTACCAGGGCCTACACCTGAGCACCAAGTAAAAAGCTCTCCTTACTTGGGGCTCAGGTGCAGGTCCTTGCAGGTCTGGGCACTTTGGGCCTATGTGCCCAGGCCTGCCAGGGCCTGCAGGCGAACCCTGAGTAAGGAGCATTCCTTACTTGGTGCTTGGGTGCAGGTCCTTGCAGGCTTGGGCGCTTTGGGCTTATGCACCCAGGTCTACCAGGGCCTACACCTGAGCACCAAGTAAGAAGCTCTCCTTACTTGGGGCTCAGGTGCAGGTCCTTGCAGGCTTGGGCGCTTTGGGCTTATGCACCCAGGTCTACCAGGGCCTACACCTGAGCACCAAGTAAGAAGCTCTCCTTACTTGGGGCTCAGGTGCAGGTCCTTGCAGGTCTGGGCACTTTGGGCCTATGTGCCCAGGCCTGCCAGGGCCTGCAGGCGAACCCTGAGTAAGGAGCATTCCTTACTTGGTGCTTGGGTGCAGGTCCTTGCAGGCTTGGGCGCTTTGGGCTTATGCACCCAGGTCTACCAGGGCCTGCATCTGAGCGCCAAGTAAGGAGTGCTCCTTACTTGGGGCTCAGGTGCAGGTCCTTGCAGGCCCGGGCACTTTGGGCCTACCCTTTTGGTTTTGGAGCAAAGCCACCGGCCACAAACCCAATGGGTCTTCAGCCCCAGCTAAGGAGCCCTTCAGGGAGCCCCAGATGAAGATAAAGCAAACCCCGTCCAAAATCACACACTGGGAATGGGAGCCTGAGTGGAAAGCCCTCCCCCAAATAATGGGCCAAAAGAAATCTTTTGGCACCTGAAAACCAAAAAACAAATATCTGCCCTCCTGATTTCGGGAGGCTCAGTAGAAATGGATTGGGGGTCCCACCGAAAACCGGGACATGGACCGAATCAAGGTTTATGCCAAATGCACATGACTACTAACTAATATTGCTTTGAACCTTGGCAGTTTCCACAAAGAATCTGATGTCTAGATAAAATGAGAAAAGGGAAGTGAGAACATCATTGAAATAACTGACATCGTGTTCATTCTCCACCTGATTCTCTCACCAGACCATAACAAACCCTTGGGCATCCTCCTTCCTTTGTTTTTTTATATGTACTTTGCATATTAAAACACCTGGCTTAACTTACATATGTCAAGTTCAAGGTCTGTGGGCCTAATCAGGACCGCCATGTTGTTTTATGTGGCCCTCCAAATGTTGGACAACTCCAGTAACCTCATCACTAGGCATCATGAGTTGAGCGGCTGGGAGTTGGTCCAAAATACTCAGAGGGCCGAAGTTTGCCCATGCCTAGTTTACACACTATCTATATAAATAAAAATGTAATGTTTGTTTGTGGGATTAACATAACTCAAAAACCACTGGATGAAATGACACAAAATTTGGACACTACACCCCTAACAGACCAATGAGTGACCATCACTCAGAATCCCCCCTACCAAAAAAAAAAAAACAGTGGAAGGGACTTAAAACCCCCAAAAGCTAAATGAGGAATCGCTAAATGACAATACAGGGGGGGGGGGGGGGGAGGGAAGGAAGGGGGGGGGAAGAAAGGAAGGGGAGAAAGAATGAAGGAATAAAGAAAAAGAAAGAAAGGGAAAAGAAGGGAGAAAAGAAGAGTGGAAAAGAGAGAGGAAGGAAAGAAGGAAGGAATTGAGGAAGGGTGGAGATAAGGGAGGAAGAAAGGGAAGGAGGAAGGTAGGAAGGAAGGATAGAATGGAAAGAAGGAAAGGAAAGAATGGAAGGATGAAAAAAATAATATCACATAAAGTTATTTAAAAAAAAAGAAAAAAAAAGAAAAGAAAAGAAAAGAAATAAAGAAATAAAGAAATAAAGGAATCAAAGTATCTAATTAATGTAATGCATCAAAGTGAAAAGGGCAGAATTGAAATATGGTAAATAATTAATAATATAAATAGTGAAAATAAAATTGTTTACTTTTCAGATGACCAGAAAAGAATTACTTATGAGAATTAAATAAAAAATTAAATTATTTAAAGTATTTATCCAATAAAAATATAAATAAATTTATGAATATTTATTTTAAATTAAATCCCCAATTATTATTTTAAGCAAAAATCAAATTAATTAATTAATATTTTATACTTAAATATAAATATTAAAATAAAAAGGAAATGAAATAAATATATTTAATAATTAATTATATAATTAACTAAAAAATTAAATTAAGTAAAATTTATCTAAGTAATTATGGAAATATTTATATAAGTAAGAAATTATAGAAAGTATGATATTAATTAAATACATCATTAATTATTTAATCAAAAATTTAATTAATTAATTAAATATTCATGTAACGTATAAATATATAAATTTAATAAAATTTATTATAAAAATTTGTATGGCATATTAATTATATGAATTAAAATAAAAAATTAATTATGTTAAGAATTAAATTAATTAATTAATTAATTAAATAGGCATCTAATTATTAAAATATTATTTAATTTTTTTAAACACCACAGCAATGCATGGCTGGTACAGCTAGCACAAAATAATTCCCCGATATACTTTCATGTCCAAAACAAATGAAAGGTGGATTTGAAAGCAATAATTAATATGACATATTTCAAGCCTACGTATTTCACAACTGTGTGTACTCACTTCAATTACACACAACAACAGTGGGCAAACTTCAGCGATCCAAATGAAAAGCTGAACTGCAACACCCATCAGCCACACCTTGTAGGAAGGCATTGGTTCCTACAGATGAACTCAATCAAAATCAGAGTCTATTTTGGCATTTCTCAAGTCTTCTAAGCTTTGCAGCCAAAACAATGAAGATGTACGTTGAGCTGAGTCAAGACAAGGAAGTTTCCAATTACTTACCATACTGACTAGCATCGAAACAGGTAAACGGTGAACCCAGGACTTCAACAAAATACCCCATGCTTCTCAGGTGTTGGTACATATCCCTGAAGTTGGTGTGGATGTGATCACCATTCCTAAGAGGAAATATAGAATTTATGTTTCTATCAGATTGCTTTCAATTAACATGCGAAATATGTTCTGTGAATGATTCCAGACTAATCCTATCACACGCATCCCATGTAAGCCCACCAACACTGGGAGGAAAAGAGATGCAATTGTGCTATCTATATGCGAAAACAACTACTGTGCAGTGTCAATACATAAATGTTATCCCTGGCTTATAAACTGCCAAAAAAAATAAGAGGAGGCAAGGCCTACAGAGCCTTTTAAGTGCATTATTTGTGACAACATAGATCAAGCAAAACATCAAATGAGCATTCCCTTGCCTTAACTAGATTGCCATCTCACAGCAGGGTTTCTATACTCATATGTCAGCAATTAGATTTGCAAACTCATCCCATGTTTGCCTCCATGACCAATTAATTACAAAACAAAACACGCACATTAAATCCTTGTGGAAAGTCAGGAACTACGAAAACATGTTTATTACTCAAGTAAATACTTTGCATATTATCTAGACCAGTGTTTCTCAACCTTCCTAATGCCGCAACCCCTTAATACAGTTCCTCATGTTGTGGTGACCCCCAACCATAACATTATTTTTGTTGCTACTTCATAACTAATTTTGCTTCTGTTATGAATCGTCATGTAAATATCTGATATGCAGGATGTATTTTCATTCACTGGATCACATTTGGCACAAATATCCTGGTTCTTATTTCAGGAAATGTGGTCTTTTCTTGAGGTCTGCTGTATTTTGAAATGATAATATGACTGCTCAAATAAATTGTTGTTGTTGTTGTTGTTATTTTCCTGGTTCTTATTTCAGGAAATGTGCTCTTTTCTTGAGGTCTGTTGTATTTTGAAATGATCATGCTGTTCATTCGTTCAGTCATCTCCGACTCTTCGTGACCTCATGGACCAGCCCACGCCAGAGCTCCCTGTCGGCCGTCACCACCCCCAGCTCCTTCAAGGTCAGTCCAGTCACTTCAAGGATGCCATCCATCCATCTTGCCCTTGGTCGGCCCCTCTTCCTTTTGCCTTCCACTTGCCCCAGCATCACTGTCTTCTCTAGGCTTTGCTGTCTCCTCATGATCATATGACTGCTCAAATAAATAAAATGTTGTTGTTGTTCTAATTATTATTATTATTATTATTATTATTATTATTATTATTATTATTATTTTCCTGGTCTTATTTCAGGAAATGTGCTCTTTTCTTGAGATCTGCTGTATTTTGAAATGATAATATGACTGCTCAAATAAGTTGTTGTTGTTGTTGTTGTTCTTCTTCTTCTTCTTCTTCTTGTTCTTCTTCTTCTTCTTCTTCTTATTATTATTATTATCCTGGTTCTTCTTTCAGGAAATGAGCTCTTTTCTTGAGGTCTGTTGTATTTTGAAATGATCATATGACTGCTCAAATAAATCAATTATTATTATTATTATTATTATTATTATTATTATCATCATCATCATCATCATCATCCTGGTTCTTATTTCAGGAAATGTGCTCTTTTCTTGAGGTCTGGTGTATTTTGAAATGATCATATGACTGCTCAAATAAATCAATTATTATTATTTATTATTATTATTATTATTATTATTATCATCATCATCATCATCATCATCCTGGTTCTTATTTCAGGAAATGTGCTCTTTTCTTGAGGTCTGGTGTATTTTGAAATGATCATATGACTGCTCAAATAAATATTATTATTATTATTATTATTATTATTATTATTATTATTATTATATTATCCTGGTTCTTCTTTCAGGAAATATGCTCTTTTCTTGAGGTCTGTTGTATTTTGAAATGATCATATGACTGCTCAAATAAATCAATTATTATTATTATTATTATTATTATTATTATTATCATCATCATCATCATCATCTGGTTCTCTGTTGTTTTTTTAATTTGTTTCAAATATGTGTTCTTGCATGGGATTGAACTGGGTGACCCTTGTGGACTCTTCCAACACTATAATTCAATTATTATTATTATTATTATTATTATTATTATATTATCCTGGTTCTTCTTTCAGGAAATGAGCTCTTTTCTTGAGGTCTGTTGTATTTTGAAATGATCATATGACTGCTCAAATAAATCAATTAATTATTATTATTATTATTATTATTATTATTATTATCATCATCATCATCATCATCATCCTGGTTCTTATTTCAGGAAATGTGCTCTTTTCTTGAGGTCTGGTGTATTTTGAAATGATCATATGACTGCTCAAATAAATCAATTATTATTATTATTATTATTATTATTATTATTATTATTATCATCATCATCATCATCATCATCCTGGTTCTTATTTCAGGAAATGTGCTCTTTTCTTGAGGTCTGGTGTATTTTGAAATGATCATATGACTGCTCAAATAAATCAATTATTATTATTATTCTAGCTGGCATTGCCCCCCCCCCCCCCCAAATGTGCAATGGGAAGTTGCTGCTAACTGTGAGAGAAATAAGGTTGAACACTGTGAAAGCCATCCATTAAATGGACCATTGAATCACAATGGACAACTCAAGAGATGCCTAGAAAAAGTGTTCTCCTACTCCAGCATGACTCTATGG